CAAGGGAGATAGTCATCAGCTGCCATGCTGCATTTGGCCAGAGACCTTGGTAGGAGTCTTGGCACTAGGCACTACCATTCACCAGCTGTGCCCCATAGCCAAGTCCTTTAACTCACATGAGCCTCCGTCACCTACCTGTTCTACTGCAAAGGGTGGTGTGAATTCGCATGATGTATGCAACATGCTTAGTAAGCACATCACACCTAGAGTTATTCGCACTTAGCGGCTATGAACTGGCACAGATGGTGTTTGAACCTATACAATTGAATACCAGATTTTCTACTACACACCGACATTGTGCAATATGAGCATGTCCATAGATTAGAGAGCCCCTGCTTTTAAAGAGACAGGCACAAAATAGAGCATTTCAGTACAGCATGGTAAAGACTCTAATTAAGATAGATATAGAGAGGTATAGAGCCCACATATGAAATATTTAGGGGCACTGTTGGCAGCATGGTCAATGGGGTTGATGAAAGATTTTATTAATTGTCTTTCTCTCCTCTAGAATGTAAAGTCCAACAAAGCTGGAATACAGCCTGTCTTTCTCAGCGCTGTGCTTCTTAGGAGCTCTATGGGGGAAGGGGTTGGGCGAATGTTTATGGTGATGCTTAAGTAAAGAAGGAGTTAGCCAAGTGTAAAATGGTGCTAAAGATATCCAGTCAGAAGAAACTGCACCAACAAAGACATATCCCTAAACATATCTTTAGAAAATTGAGAGGCAGGTTGTTGAAACAAATGGAGTGCAAAGTATGGAGTGTAGGGGTGAGGAGAGAGGACTCGACAGGGGTAAGACCATGGAAAAATCTTGTTTACCAAGCTAAGAAGTATGGCGCTTATGTGGGTGAACACTTGTGTGTAAAGCCATTGTGGGCAGCTGCTGGCATGGGCTGATTTAACAGGACCTGCAATTCCTGTTCCAAGCCTAAAATATGCTTTCCTTGCGAGACTGCCAAAGTACCTATGATTTTTTTATTTATTATCAAGCCCAAAGTAATAACCACATTAACCAGAAACAGCTGCTACTTCTTATTCTCCAATTAGTTTATCAGATTTGCTAGCCAGATCAATTTTCACAGCAACCATATGAGGTAGTTACTTTCATTAGCTCATTTGACAAATGAGAAAACCAAAGCACAGATAGGTTGGGTGACTTGCCCAAAGTCATACAGCATTCCAGTCGCAGAGTCAGGATGCAAACTTAGTTACCTTGGCTCCAGAATCCATTTTCTTAACCACCACTTTATTTCAAATGTATCTCCCAGTTCATCATTTCTCTCTTCTGTTGAATAATGCATCCACTGTTTAACTCATTTGATGAATTTTTCATTTCTATAACTTTTTTTAATTCTAGAATTTCTATTTAGTTCTTTTAAAATGTCTACTTTTTTTTTGTCATATTATCCTGTACTTGCCCTATGGTTTCTATGCCCTCTTTCATCATGAAATATTTTCTAACATTTATACTCTCAAATTTGTTATCTTTAGTTTCTAAGATATGAACTTCTCCATGTGTTTGATCTGCTGGCTCTCACTAATGGTGGCATTTCCCCCCTCCCCCTCTCTTTCTCTCTCTTTCTCTCTCTCTCTCTCTCTCTCTCTCTCTCTCTCTCTCTCTCTCTCTCTCTCTCTCTGTGTGTGTGTGTGTTAATCCTCACCCAAGGATATTTTTTCCATTGATTTCTGGAGAGATTGGAAGGAACGGAGAGAGACGGAGAGAGGGAAACATGGATGTGAGAGAGACACATTGATTGGTTGCCTTCTGCATGTGCCCTGACCAGGACCAGAAATCGAGCATGCCACTGAGGTACATTCCTTTGACTGAAATTGAACCCAGGACCCTTCAGTTTCAGAAGCTCTATCCACTGAACAAAATGGCTAAGGAGCATTTTTTTCTGTCTTGCATGTAATATTTAAAAGTAAACTTAACATCAGCAGGAGTTTGCTGTTGTTTTGATTTTTTAATTTTGATTTTGGTGGGAGATCCATATGCACTGAGATGTTGAGACACTTTTATGACCTGCTTTTCAGTATCTCACAGTTTAATTAATTCCAGACCAAGTTTTTACATTATCTTGTTGGCTTGTGGCTTGTGCACTGCACAATAAGAACCCTGAACCCTTACACATGTTTAACGTAGGTTTGGTTTGGATTTCTCATGGGTAATCCCATGACCCAAAGTGGCTGACAGAATTCCATACCAGAGACCTCAGCAGAATCTTCCTTATTTTATGCTTAGCCCTATCATTCCTCACTGACAGTAGCTACACATGCGGTTGTTGGCTGTGGCCTCGACGCTCATCCCCACTACTGAAATTCCAGCCCCTAAGAATCCCACATACTGCCCATATTTTCATAAGACCTTTTGTTTAATTCCTTCTTACTAATCATTGCTCCATTACTGAGTTTGCTCTTCGTTTCTAGCACCTGGGATTTCTACTTTTTGGATGTAAGTCTGGCAATGGATTTTTTTCCCATTGTATATTTTCACCAGCATCTCTCTGTCATTGGCTGATATGTCCCTTGGCAACCTAGTCTATCAAATTGACCAGAAGGTTATGATTAAGCACGCAGATATCAATCTTTCCTTTATGGAGGACAAAGACCTTGTCTGGTTCATCTTTCCATCCTAAGTCTTCAGACAGTGCCCAGAACACAGTAGGCAGCAATCAAGATTTGATCAATGAATGAATTAATTCATCATCTTTTCTTTGAGGTGGGAATGAAAGACCATGCAATAATGATCTTCTAGACAAAGAAGATACCAAGAATCCCTGGAAAGCCATCCATGCTCTCTGGAAGATCATGCTGAACATACAAAAAGTTCGAGTCATGCCTGAGTTCAGTCCTTTGGCTGGTAGGTTCATTACTACTGACACTACTTCTCTCTTGAAAGGCAATCACCGCTAATTACATGCTGGTCTAGCAGAACTATGAAGGCTGGCAGGCTAGGGGCTTCACAGAGCTCTGCTGTCTTTCAGCACACACTGATGTCCTTTCATAGCCACACTTGGCATCTGATTAATAGCATGTAGAGGCAATAATGTCATTTTTCTTGTTGGTGCCATAAGGAGCTGGCCAATTAAGTTCCCATTTTTGGAGCACCTGACACAGAGTAGGCACAGAGTTAAAGTTTCTTCTTCTCCATTAAAAACTGTTCATAAATGTTTATTGAAAATCTTCTGCCTCCTGGGCACTGTGCTTGGTGCTGGAGGTGGAGAAGAATAACATACAGTCCCTGTTTCAAGCCTTAATTAGAAAAAGAATTTCAAGATCAAACTGAATAAAAATTACTTCAAATGTCCTTTGATTTAAGCTGAAAAGACATCTCACCTCATCCTGCCACCTTAAAATACCTAAGAAGTATAGCCGGCAAAGTAATTTTGCCTAAGACTATGTTGTACAGTTCTCTCACCTCAGAGAGGAAATACAACTCCCAGTGAATATATGAACAGATAATAGAGAGCTCATTATCAAAGGCAATTATTTATTTATTTTTTTGGTTAATCCTTACCCAAGATATTTTTCCATTGATTTTTAGGGAGAGTAGAAGAGAGAGAGAAAGACAGAGAGAAACAGTGATGTGAGAGAAACACATCGATTGGCTGCCTCCTGCACGAGCCCTGACCAGGGCCCAGCCAGGGAGGAACCTGCAACCAAGGTGTGTGTCCTTGACCGGGATAGAACTTGGGAGTCTCTAGTCTGCAGGCCAACACTAACTGGCTAGGGTTCATTATAGGCAGTCTTTGACAATGAATTTTGAGTTTCTTTTATTATTAAAATCCCAGAACCTTGAATTATGTCTAAACTAAATTAGAAACTCAGTAAGTCTGTTGAATGTATTGGCACATATATAGATGTGGTCCATCCATCTATGTCCCCATCATTCCACACATTTATTGAGGATTTTCTATGAATGGCAGTCTGTCTGAGATCTTGTGATCGGGACAAAGACAAAGAATAAATAAATAAATAAAAATAAAAAAGAACAAGATAGATATATCTACAAGAAATTTCCAGGTTTGATGGTGAGGTGTCTAGGTATATGTAAGTCACCATGATATAACATAGAAAATACAAAGAGAAAACCATGGAATAGGCTATAGGAGTTCCAAAGAATAGGCCACTTCCTGCAGAGGGATAAGGTAAGACTATGGCTCATGGAGACTTTATGCTCAGACTTGAAGGAGAAGGAATTTGCTGCCTTATAGAAGGGCGAGAGTGGGTATTGGCAAGGAAGGAGGGTCAGATGGAAAGAATAACTTAGACAAAAGCAGAGGGGCAGAAAAGCACAGGCTATATAAACAGAAATACAAATTTGGATGGAAATGGGTAAAGGGGCATAGAGGGGACTAAGGAGAAATAAGGCTCCAAAGGTAATAAGAGACCATTGCAGGGGCTTTAGATGTGTCCTGATTTTCCAGGATATAAGCTCTCTACAGAGTAGCCAGTGCTTAGCATATGGCCAGGCTTCATTAATACTACAACAACCTCCTAGTACGAACCTGCTCCCTGCGTGCACAGAGGAAGCTGCCATCTGTATGCGCAAGCAATTACAAACCCTTCACATACTCTGTCCTGAACCCTGCAAGCGTATCAAATACTCCCTGTAAAAGGTCACCCAGCAAACAGTTCTGAGCAATCCTGGCTCAGGCGGAATCAAATCTCCTAAATAAGATCCACTAGAGGCAATGTCAGGAAGGTCAGCCACAACCCTATTTCACATCTTGAAGCGTTTTCACCATGTGGAACATTTTAGGGAAGAAGGGAAAGGCAAGAGAAAGAGAGAGAGAAGAAGAAAAAAAGATCCCTCCAGAAAAAATAGAATTCCAAGTCATTAAATGTGAAATGATCACAAAGCAAGCAGGGAATTTATTTTGGCCCCCACCCCTTTCTAGTGATCTAAAAAGCAGTTGATTTCAAAGTAGCTGTGCCAGGGTTCCACATGGAGCTTCACGCCTCCCTTCCTCCCCCTCCCCCAGTGCGTCCCCGCTGTGTACCTTTGTCGAGTTCACTCGAAATGTTCCATGATGAGGTAGGCACTAACTCAGCAGTGACTGACAACTCTGTTTCTGAAAAGAAAAAGAAGGGAGGGGAGAGAGATGAGGGCAACATTAACCTCAGTAACTTATGGGCTGTTAGAAGCATTACAGGAGATTTCCAAAGGCCCTGCCTTCTGAGAGTGACCGCTGCCATTCCGTAGCTTATTACACAGAACGGCTGCGCCCCAGCCAGGCAGAGGCGCCTGCCTCGGAGAGGCTGTCCAGATGAACGATCTGTAGGCCAGATTGGAAGGTTGTTGTCTTTGAAACACAGGCTTCAAAATTAAAATGAAAATATTTCATTAACAAAAAACCAACCCTGCAAAAATGGTCCGACATTATCAAACAAGCTCTCCCATGTCTTGTTAGAAGGCCAGCCTTAGGCGGATATTTTCAACAGTCCTCCCACAAAAAAATAAGGAAGACCAATGTTGCTTTTGCTGCTGATTTCATTCGTGTTTGTGGATTTGTAGCATTTGTATTCCTAGAGAAACTCATGTCTCTATATTGAAGCCCTCAGTCAAGACCAAAAATAGCATTTGAATACTGAGAGCCATCTGTGGTTAACTGAACTTAAAAGATAAATTTCAAAAACACCATAGTACATTTTTCTAGGATTGCACTAATCTCCCTTTAGGTGACTTCTACACACACACACACACACACACACACACACACTATATTATGAAACTTTCTTGCTGTGCAGAGTGCTCAGAGCCCAGGCCATTAGAGATATGGTACCCATGGCATAAGTTCCTCTTCCTTCAATCTGATACAGACATCACTCATCAATCATGGCCCTTCTTGCCTAGGAAACCTGGGATCTGCCTTGGTGTCTTTTCAACACAGTCCTCTAGGCAGCCACTAAGATGCATCTGAGTTCGAACACAAGGTGAACTTTAGTAAGTGAAAGAGCTGGGATTCAAACCCAGGTCTGTCTGACGCTGCCACCCACCCAACTCCCAGCAGCCCATGCTGCCTAGTACTCAGGTCTGTGAAACAAACCCCACTTGCTCTTCACCTCACCTCTCCCTTGCTTCACCTTTTCACCTAGATAAGCACACTTTCCACATTTCCTTATTTGCTGATGGGGACTGTCTGCCACACGGCTGTAGGAGCCACACGCCACCGTCAGCGAGCTTGGCCAAGGACAGGATGTTTACCCGCGGAGACTTTGCAGGGGCCCGCTTGTAGCTTGTCTCCTGAGCTTTCGATCAATCTGCCACACACGGCTGAGACAAAAGGGTTGTTTGGTTTGCACATACCTCCTTGCTGTCCACGTGGGAAAGGAAGCCAGTGGGAAAGAAAGTACACAGACCATACAGCCCTCCCTATTTCATATAGCCTCTGTTGCCTCCTATCTCCTGGGGGGGCTGGGGGTTAGTATAGATTCTTTTAAGGGTACCTGAAGTATGGCATAAAGCACATAAAATTCCAAATATGAAACCAAAAAGAAAAATTTACCCAAAAAAGAAAACTGCTTAACCCAACAGCCCAGGAAAAGGCAGTGCTTCCGCTTCAGCCACTTGTCCTGCAAAGAGCATTTACACAGGTGATCTCACAGGAGGAGCTGAGTGTCTACACTGCAGGGCCCTCAGACTCCCACCCAAGTTCCACCCTGGCCCCATCCTGATACCACCCATGTGGCACTTTGAATAATAATAGCCCCATGTTTTTGGTAGCACAGGCCACTGTGGTTTGCCTTAGAAAAAGACCCATCAGCCCGGCCAGTGTGACTCAGTGTTTGAGCATTGATCCATGAACCAGGAGGTGAAGGTTCGATTCCTGGTCAGGGCACATGCCAGAGTTACTGGCTCCATAGCCAGTGTGAGGCATGCAGGAGGCAGTGGATCAATGATTTTCTCTCATTATTGATGTTTCTCTTTCTTTCCTTCTCCTTCTCCTTCTCCCTCCCTCCCTCCCTCCCTCCCTCTTTGAAATCAATAAAAATATTTTTTAAAAAGAAAAAGGTTCATCAAGCACTCCAATGTGCACACTTTGTGGAACTTAGGGACAGAGCATGGTAGCCAAGGTGGCATTTCAGGGACGGAAGCTAAGGGTGGCGAGGTGGTGGGATTAAGACAGATCTTGACAACATTTACATTCAATATTTTCATAGCTCCATCTTACTGCTGCTCACAGTTACATTGCCAGCATTACAGGTTTCCTTTTGCGGTACTAATTTTATAGAAAGTTAGTTGTAATATGTCACTGGGTTTTTCTAACCTTAGTTTGAATATAATTCAATCACTGATTGAATATAATTTAGGGCTGATGACAAATGAATAGAATCTTGGCACTGCTAACAGTGAAATTGTCCCCATGTGTCCCTGGACAATAATTACCACTCGGTTTGTGGGGTACAGCAGAGATCATTTCAATTCACAAGCTCATTAAGGGACTGTGATGATTTGGAGGAATGCTGTTCTCAGGCTCAAGATCTATTGTTTTAGATAACCGCATGTTCAGCTTCTCAGATAAAATGATAATAAAAACAGATCAAGTATTTTGAAATATAAATAATCTCCCTCTGAAAAGTATTATCTCGGGCCACATTTGTAAAGGTTTATTTTATGTGAAAAGTTTAGTATTAGTAATTCCCCTCACAAAAATAATGTTTAATAAGCCCCCTCCACCCATCTCATGAAAGGAAGGCTGAAGTTTACCTAGAAATATTTGAGCACATCTCAACTTGGCCTCCATCGATTCCAGAGTCAGCAGCAGTGTTAGAGAGAGTCATGACCATCAGTCTTGACCCTGCAGTATAGGCAAGTCAAACTCAGAGCCTGCAGGCCCCATGACTTGTTTGTTTGGCCTGTGTTAACCTTTGAGTTTGACATGCCTGCTGTAGTATCTCCACTGATGGATTCAGTTCCTCTTCTATTCTCATCATGGCTGAGGGATGAGCTATTTAATACCAGACCAGCAGCTTTTCTTTGTGTAAAATTACCGTGGTAACAGCAAATTAGCATATGTCAATCAGGGCACAGGACAATATTTCATGGAAATAGACACCTAGATTAAAATACTAACTTCTGCCATTGATAATTCTGTGATCATGAGAAAGCTATTTTCTGTAAGATGGGAACAATAAAGCTGTCTCAGGAAGGATTAAGCTAGATAGTGGGCCATAGGGTCCTGTAGAGTGCCCAGCACAGAACATACACCCAGGGATCTTTTCTGCTGCCCCCTCGGTCCAGTAAGACAGATGTAGCTATCCTCCATGTGGACATATCCCAGTTAGCTGCTAGGTCCTTGTCTGGGTTTGAAATAACGCAAATGCCGTGCTTTTAGAAAGATTCTATTTCGCATGCCTTACTAATCCAAGCCAATCTTTTCATTTTTGTGAGGTTTTCCTGAATTGGTCACCGGCTCTCTCAGAACATAAGTGTTTTTATGCGGTTTGATCCAATTGAGGCAAATGGAGCATGTTTTAGAAAACTCCAGCTCTTATCTTTCCTGACCTCGGCAGGAGGGCGCACCATTCTTCTCCCGATTTGATCAATAGGAGCTATTATCTTTGCAGTTCCACTGATGATTGACTTCTTGGCACTGGTTCTGCAAACCATAAGGTTTTGGTATTTAAGCTTGAACAGTGGGAGTGTTATTTGGAGGGAAGAGGGGAAAAAAATAAGCCTTGAATCCTCCTCATTGATAAAAGCCTGCGCTTTCCAAAAGGATTACTGGTTCGTCTCAGCAGTTGGCAGGTAGAGACCCAACGTTCACAGGATGCAGAAGCTCTTCCAAAATGCACCCCGCCCCGCCACATCCTGTCTCCTGAGCCAGTGATACGTGAGGTTACACAGACACGGACCAGCACACTCATGAGACCAGTGTCCAGCCCAGTGGTCACAAAGGAGAGCGTGAGGAGTCAAGTGGCTACCCCAGTGCCTTTCTCATAAATGTGACAAAGACATTAATTTGTTAGAGAAAGAAAAAGTTTTTTTTTAAATATACTAACATTTGTGGCACTATTCATCTTTTTATTAGCACCACGCTCTAACCAACTGAGCTAACAGGCCAGGTGCTATTCATCTTTTTAGATAGAAGAAATTGGAAGAAAAAAAAAAGTTCTCCAGATTTTCTCAATATCTACGAGGCTCTCCTTGTGCTTGGAGATCTTCTCAACAATTCTACAAGGTGGGTAGTACCATCCTCACTTTCATTTAAAGATTGGAGAACCTGAGACAGGACATACTAAGGCACTTGCCTACTTAAGGTTGTTGGGGTGGGAATGGAGATTGTGGTCAAACCCAGGGGGGTCTGAAGGCAGAGCCAGTGTCTCAAACTGCCAAAATGGGGTGGGGTGGAGGCTGCTCTCGGACTTCAGCCCTCCTCAGCCCCAGAGGACCCTGTGAACTTCAAGCTCTGCAGAACACAGTGTGAGAAGCAGTGCCAGAGGCTATACTCCTCCCCATCAGTGGTTGGTCCCCGAATTCTAAAACCTGAAGAGGATGGTGGGCGACACAAAGGGAGGAGAGGAAGCAAGTCTCGATCACACACAAATGCTTTCCCCCTTTGGGAAATACTATCCTTTCTTTAAATCTGCTAAGCTAATATTTAAGTTCACACGCAGTTCTTGTATTTAAAGGAATCATGCTACCAAAGCACCATGATGACACACATCTTTAAAGTGAATACAAAGAGTCTTGAAAACTATCTTACTTGAAAGTGTCACACGTGGGGTCTCTTCCATGGAACTCTAGAGATTCACTCATTAGACACACATGTGCATGGTCATTTCCCATGTATAAGAACTGGGATTAAAAAAGCTTGACCTGATCCCTAAGGATGATCAAGAACCTACAGTCTACTGGGAAAGTAGTACAGAGACAAGATTATAAACTATGATGGGGTAATAGTAGAAAAGGAAAGAAACCGCCTCTTTATCCTGTGAATCATTCCTCCCACATCATCCCATCCAGACCAGACACGCAGACTACTGAATAAAATATCATTAAAAAATATATAATGCATAGCAGAGATTGAAGAGGACATTCTCAGGTGCCCAAAATGAAGAAAATGGCAAG